TTTAAAAGCACAGTTTATTTTATTTCTGGGAACAGAAGAAGATATTGAGTCAGGACTTTTAAAAGTCTCTGTGAATATTGACAGTGGCAATAAGGATCTCTGAAGTCCTTGTGAAATGAAAGTGGTAGCAGATAATAGAACCTCTGGACATCTTTGAGTTGAAATATTGAGATTTTCACATCCAAAAACATTGGTCTCTGATAAACTTGTATTGTTTAAATGGATTTTTGGAGAGCACTAAAGCTTAATATAGCAGAAAACCTATTTCTCTTTTTCTGGAAACCTGAGTTATCATTTTACACAGGAAAAACTACCAACTTTCTCAAGATTAAAGAGTTCATTATAGTGTGCACAGTGGTTGGGGTATCAGGAGCATAAATCCTGGCCCTAGGTTTGAATGCCCACTTCACCATTTCCAGTTGTGTTCAAATAACATTGGGTAGTTGTTTTGCCTCTCTAAATCTAGCTTAAAAATGCCTATTTTGCAAAGTTGTTTTGAGGGCAATAAAGAATTTAATTAATGAAAATCCTGACAAGGTCTGGCACATTGTACAATAGCAATAAAGGGTAACTATGCAAGATGAATTCCTGTTTATTGATGTTTAAAGAAAAAATATCCAAGAGGAAAAAAGCATCACCTTCCAACCTTTAAAAAATTATCTGTCCTGGAATGTAGCTCAGTGGTATCAGTGGTAGAGTGCTTGCTCAGCATATACAAAGCTCTGAGTTAAATCCCCAGTACAAAACATAAAAAATAAAAACATCTGTAGATCTAAAGAAAATATTATATAACAAGCCCTATATTTCAAAAAATGAAAGAATCACTTATTTTGCAATAAACAAAGGACAGAAGTTTGGAATTTAACCTTTTCACCATTGGGCTAAACATTTATGATTCTTTGTTTGGTATATAGTAATTTACCATCAAAACAATTATCTGTTTAAAATATATCATCTATTTTAGTTAGCTTTTTGCTGCTGTGACCAAAAGACATGAAAAGAACAACTGGAAGAGGAAAGTTTACTTTGGGCTCACAGTTTCAGAGGTCTCAGTTCATTGACTGTCAGCTCCATTCCCTCCAGGTCAGGGTGAGGGAGAATAACATACATGGCGGAAGTGTGTGGATGAGGAAACCCACTCAGGCCAGGGCCATCAGAGAGAGAGAGAGAGAGAGAGAGAGAGAGAAGACTCTGACTTAATTAATCAGGGACAAAATATATACCCGCAAAACACACCCCAGTGACCTACCTCCTTCAATCATACCCTACCTGCCTTCAGTTACCACTCAGCTAGTTCCTATAGGGGATTAATTCAGTGATTGGATTAAAGCTCTTATAACCCAACCATTCCATCTATATACTTTTTTGCATTGTCTCACAATGGGGGATACCTAATCTAAACCATAACATCGTGTATTCCAAATTACTCCAATATATGGAACAGGAAATTAGTTTTTCCTATGGATCTGAGTTTCTAATTGTTCTTGTACCTACAGATTTGCTATTAAATTCATCAATTTATTATTAAATTATTTCAGGGAAGTGGGAAGTTGAATGACCTTCCCTTCGCTCCCCAGGAAGCCTCAATAGTCCCACACAGACATATACATATGCACATACATGTGCACAAACACTGTGATCATAAAGCAAATCAGACTTAATTTTTTAATAGCAAATGTGCCAAACTAAAATATCCATCCATGAATATTATCACCCTCAAAGGAGTCACCTTGAGAAGCTATTTAGTTGTAAAAATATATCTTGCTTTCTAAACCCCTTTAGGGGACTCCTCTTTTATAGTTCATTTCAGAAGCTAGCATAACACTTCCTATATTCCTGGTCAT